CGATGTCGCTCGTCCGCGGAACAACTGAAAAGTATGAATCAAGACATAAAAGAATAAGTATGAACAGAAAACACACGAATAAAAGCAACACGGCGCAAAAAAACATCGAAAAGCACAAGAAATACACCAAAACCAAGATTATCGATCGGAGCGCGCCATCTGCGCCCAACGTACGCGTCATGCGCCAGAGCGCGTATTGACGCTCTTCACACTGTCGGTGCGGTCGGCGCCGTCGGCACCGACCGCACCGATGCGAACTATGAAAGCAGCCTTAACACTGATGCTCCGCTAAACTCAATCGTGGGTTCATCTAATTGGACTTGAAAAAAAAACTCTATATAATTTAAGTATGAGTCTATCAAACAACTTCGTAATAGTCTTCTAGCTGCTTTGAAGCAACAGTCCCAGCAGGGTTTTTACCTTCGACACTAATGGTGTGGAACGATGCGCTAGCCCTAGTCAAGAACATAAGTGTGACTGAACAAAAAACTCACCTTGGAAAGCCGCTAGAAAGGGAGCTGAACGGCTTCGAAGTGGGCGTGGTTGAATCGGCCGAGGGACTGCACAACCACGCCCACTTCGAAGCTGTTCAGCTCCCTTTCTAGCGGCTTTCCAAGGTGAGTTTTTTGTTCAGTCACACTTCTTATGTTCTTGACTAGGGCTAGCGCATCGTTCCACACCATTAGTGTCGAAGGTAAAAATCCCTGCTAAGACTGTTGCTTTAAGCTGGATCATTCAGCCTAAAGTGCACGCCACGTTGAGCCCAACGACGACGAATGAATTCATGTTCTGAGATGCGGTAGTGAACAGGTACTTAGTTCTGCTCATGGAGGATGGAATATTTTCATGTGAGTCTCCCATCAATGGGGCAGGTTTGCCCGAAAAGTTTGCTATGTGTCCAACACGCAGAAAGTCCATTTTGGGCCTTCCACGGTAATAAGTTTGTGAACAACTGGGGTCTAGGAAGCGCAAAAGGATGAGGTCAAGAGGAAAATTTGATTCTTTGTGATGTACCTTAAAGGCACGAGTCGGGATTGAATTGATGTTATTTTGTTCAAACATTAGGCAAGGGGTGCAATGAGGAACATTAGTGAGGAGAAAAAGCAAAAAGCACCATAGAAAACACTAAATTTCCCTTAGGAGGCCGGCCGTAGACGGAGAGACACAGCGCTGCGAGGAGAGGGAGAACGCGAGATAGTACGTCATACGTGAGGACGCAGAGACCACGTATGCCGTGGTGGATTACGCTGGCAGCGCGCGCGGCAAGGCCTTAGCGCCATTGCCGCGCACTTTTGGGTCGCGATAGTGTCGCGCCCTCAGTGCTTGGGGAGCCCACTATCGCACCCTGGGAAGAACTTCTGCTGGTTGCCTAATCCTGACTCGTGGCTTTAAGCAGACAAAACTAATAGTACCTAAACTAATAATACTAACAGTATGATTAATTTTCTTACCACATTATGACCAGCTTCTTGGAGAATATCAGCGATACGTCCCATGAATATTGTATGCGAATAGCCCAACGGGGCCGAGTAGATGAGAATTTTGTAAGCATTCACAGAAAAAAAGCTGAGTGAGAGGTATAGCAGAATTGTCTTCATTTCCACTGCGTGGAATTTATCGATCCCTATATGATGGCCTGGAGTGGAACTGTTGAGAACAACAGAAAATGGAAGTTCAAATGATGCAAACCGAGTCTGCCATTGTTACAATGTGGCAATAATATGTACTAATCGAAACCGCCTCACATGGAAAAACCAGCAAACCAGTTCTGCTTACCTGGCCTCATATGGTAAATTGGGCCTTATGTCAACAAAACTTCACTTCGTTTTCCAATCTTTACAGTTTGCTGAAAAACAACGTTTTGTCACCAGCTAACGAACTGGTTCATGATCGGCTCACTATGTTGCTTTAAACAAAAAACAAAACGTCTACTTGGATTATTTTCAAATCTACGCCTCTCTGTTTGCACTGGAAACCACAGCCTAGAAGATAACCAAAGCACCACTTCAAGGCAAACTTTAGAGACGAACTGCAATAAAATGAAATGAGCAGTAGTACCCTGAAACAGGATCAATACAGTACCTCGGGTAATCCCATCTCTACGTACGCCTTTGAAGGAACCTTGCTTTTGCCACACTTAAGATGAAAAACTCCTTTCTTCCCCTAAATAAGCAAAAAATAATACAAAAAGACGAGTTTCATTTGTATAGTAGAATCCTATCTCGAAGCAATGATGACGGTGTTAATTAACTACTTTCTTATTCATTTATTTAATGCGTGCGTAGACGAGCTATCGGTAATACTTAAAACAGATCAGGAGCGGTGGTAGTCTACCCAAATTAGCCGTACGAATGGCTGTCAGACGTCCATGACGGGGAAAGAATACTGAAGGTTGTTTTGTAACCAGGTTCAAGACGAGGAGCTTCGCCATATTGCTTGCAAGAGCTGTTAGCACGACTCGAACTCATGTTCTGCATACGAGGACGATACCATTGCACCTGAAGGTTGACTTCAAAAGAAAACCTGAAGAGCAGGGGGATTGCCTATGGTCATTGCAAAAATCAAGATTCTCCTCAGAATTGAGAATGCCTTTTCGACAGTGACGCTGTAGAACGATGTCTATACGTTTCTACTGATACGCCTGAGACGTGGTATTTAGAAGATTTAGATTTCGTGGTATTTAGGTATTTAGAAGCTGCTCAAGCACCCTCCTTTGCTGTGCATTTTTTCTAGATTCTTTGATTTTGATTGATATATCGGTAATTGTAGGAACGCGGGAGTAGCTCAGGATGCAAGAGAACTGCAGTCTTGAGTTTCCACTCTTTCGTTATAAAGCAACCGCGAAACCGTGACGCGGGAAACACCCGAGAACAAAAACGTGGGCAGAACACGAAAACGTGCCATTCCGAAGATGGATCTAATTTGTTTGAAGAGAGAACGTTACCACAAACTGGTATAAAAACTGGTTTCTCATATTCACTCCGCACTGTGTGTCGTTGTTCTAACAACATCAGTAGAATCGATTGAACATTTCACCTGAATCCACTAATGAATGAAGGGTTTCCCCATCGTGGCTGATTATGCAGGGAAACAGTGAACTCTTAGATCCTATTTCAAATATAATATTAGCTAATCCATAAGTAGTGTCGTTCTTTTTCAGACATAAAATCTCCTTCTGATTCCCCACTTTCTACACCAATCCGTATATGATACGAAAGGAATTGTCTGCCGAACAAAAAACTTTGCATGACTTCCACATCCGTTGTAGGATATTTTCAGGCCTGCGAACTGGAAGTTCCGCCAAAACGACAACTAGCTCCAACTCTATCTTCGCTTAGAAGAAAACAATCAATGATGTACCCCCTACCATCCATGACCTCTTTTAAACATTCTACCTTAAGTAGTCAGAAAAGCTTAGCCATATTTCTTTTCGAATTTGATTTTCCTCGCTGACCGACAAGCAGCAGCATTTTTAAACTGAAATATTCCTCTGAAACGCCACCTGTTTTATATCAAGTGATGCATTTTTCGTGAGCACCACTCTTTTGTTTTGCTTTTACATTTGTTGTGAATTAGTTCAAATTTTAGGGCTCGTGTGATGTTCTGTCCACGTAAGTGACCACATTACTTTGAAAAAATTTTCCCCGAGAAGATGAGAAAATCAACCAGGCGTACATTCCTAACTTAGTCATGACTTGTTCTTAATTCTACTAGTTTTTCAATGTCTCGGCTATAAAAAAATTTCGACCTAGATCTCAGGTAATGGTGCTTGACCGTCGAGTTCTGGTTGAAAAACCAGGTCTGGAAAAGGGAATGAGCGACTTGTTGGGAAACCTAATAGTGTAATGTTTAGAAGAGGTCATGCATAAGTAGAGGGTACATCATTGATTGATTTCTCCGAAGGGAACATAAAGTTAGAGCTAGTTGTCGGTTTGGTCAATTTTTGTCGGCTGGACCTCCCATTTCGCAGGCCTAAAATTTGAAAACCCTGGAATGAATGTGGAAGAACAAGATTTTGTAGAGCAGACAATTCTCTTTCGAATGGTATATGACGTATGTAAAAGCTTGAGGATTTAAACAAAAATTTCTCGTTCTATAAAAGCGACACTTATGGGACAATCTAATGCATAAGAGCAGAATTGAAACCTTAAAGCAACAATCCAGGAACGAATTCGCGGGTAAGGACCACCTATAATGACGTTGCAGGTGAGAAGTTGGTCAATGGAGAAAGAAAAAGTAGAAAAAACGTCGGGCAGGGGCTTAGACAGGGACTCCCCTGCCGTTTAGCGATGGTGGAAGACGCGTGTTGGACGAGTTGTCCGAATCTGTACCCCACCGCTTTGTAGCTGAACTGTAAAAGATTCAGGTAGTTTTCTGGTCCAGTCTCTAGTCTGGACAGTACTCACAAGCTAGTAGTGGTAGTGGCAAATAGAGCAGCGTCGCTCATTAGCAAGACATCCTTCAACCCCTTCAGAAAAAGAAAAAAAACACAAGCGAAGAAAAACAAAACACAAAAAACACACAAAACAAAAACAATTCCATCATTTTGCGATCTTGGTCTTGCCTAATGAGCAGTTGGACAGAAGTTGGTACGAAATCAGAACCATTCTCTCAACCTTCCTCCATCGTTCCCTGAATTGATTTTCAGAGGATCGACCTCAAATAGTCGCGGCGGTCCCGCAACGACCGCTAGTCGAGCAGCGCTCTGCACAGCTGCTTGGAGGCGGCCCCACCACGGATCGGTGGATCCGCCCCTCTCGAAGGATTTCGACTGCTTCCAACGCCTTTCAGAGGTAAGTTTTGAAGTTTGTGACATTTCCCATGAACTCCAATCAGGCTGAGGCATGTTTCCACCACTTGAAAACCAAATGGTTGAAACCCTGCCTGGACTGTTGCTTTAACTTTGTTATCTTTTGTTATCTTTAACTTTGTTATCTTTTGTTATCATATCATGATTTATCCTTCAATCTTGCTTATTCAAGAAGCCGCTCTTCTGATCAATACCTTCCTCATGTGTTGAAACTGCTTTTTTAGATTTGCCCACAGCATTTTTAAGTTCCACGACAGCACGCCAAAAACTTTTGAATCTCTTTACACTACAACAGAATATTATTTAGCTTTTTACAGGACATAGTGACTATTTTCTCAGTATCACTTCTTGCAATATGAAGTAGGATTGTTGAGTGTAATAACACTGGAAACTGAACCTGCATCCAACTCAGCAGAAGAAAATGAGATTAATATTGTGAACAAATAAAGGTGATGGAAGCTAGTCTTTTTTGACCTTCACTTTTACAGTTTTGCGAAATAGGTATCTTAAGACATACATGAAAGTAGTTGCAACGAATGAGAAGAAAATGATTAGAAAGATCATAACGTCTATACTGTAATACTGTAGTGTGTTTAAATGCGTCCCTATGTCGAGATCAGAAATTCGGCCATGTCGAATGGAGAACTCTACGGTCGAAAGCAGTCGATCTCGTACAGGAAATGGTTTGTTCACCATCAGAGACGCCAGCCGTTCCGCTCGCTGAGAGTAGCTAAAAAGCCTTTATTGAAAACATGAAGACACAGCATCACCTATCAACGCTTTGGATTTAATGGTGATTCACGATACAATTACACTTTACGGGCATAAATATGGTGACAAAGTAATTGCGGCCCAATTCGAACCAGAAAGGTCGAGACAGAAGACCAAGCAAGCAATGTATGAGCAGATCCTTTGAAACAACTGAACATTTCCTATTCAAAAAGATCGCTTGTGAACTTGCCAATTTTCTCAAACGTTGTTTTCTTCTCATTGTTAGTTACTTCATCTTCTATATTTCAATCTTGTCACCATATTTATGCCCCACGCTGTATAACCATTCCCCAATTTTCAAGCAAAAATAAAGGTCGGGATTAATGAAAGTAACTTTTTGTACGGACTGCGACTCTTTCCAGGAGAATTCTTGTACACTCCCGAAAATGAATTATTGTAAGCGGTAGGCAATAGCTTCCTTATCACGTCTTTTGCACTATGATTGCAAATTTTTGTTAACTTTGTTCCCAAACTGATGAACCCAACTTCTGTCCACATTTAAGGTTGCTCAATATTCAGTATGCGCTTGAAGAAGCAATCAATGTGCTCCACCCGTTCCTTTTCCCGATTCGAGACGGTGATAGTTTGGTTTTCGGTTGTATCCTAATTCCTTGGCCTTTTACTTTTTTGAAGCAAAATTGAACTCCAGTTCAATAGAGGGGAGTTTAGTATAACCCTGAGGTTTAGAAGACAAGCGACCTTCAGACTTCACTGCCTAATTGGGATACCCAGTGTACCCTAAGCAGAAGAAATTAGTGCAATCCCTAATAAAGTTTAGATAGGGAGGTCGAATTGGCCCATAGAGTATGAATGTGTTTGATGGTATCTGGATCTTCTGAATGGGATAGGGTCGAAAAGTTATTGGAAATTTACAAACGGACAGTTGGCCTTCAACTCAAAAGCTCTTCCCTCAATCTACTCAACACTTGCATTGTTCAGTAGTGACATAAACAGGCGAACAGTCTACTCTCTACAATTTCGTCAGCGTCCACAAAAGTGAATCGAAGAGACGAAACAACAAATCTGGAGGACTTTCGCTCATTTTTCTTCGTTGAGAGTTGCACAGAATTCCACGTAGCGAGCATAAATATAGCAATTCCCTTATTCTTTATTACCTCTTGTCACTAAGCACTTGTTCGAGAGCAGCAGCGAAGGTTACACGGTTGAAATCCTCTTTTGCAATCACGATTGTTGTATTTTTCACTTCAACGAGACGCGCATTTCTGAAACAGCAGAAACCACAGCAAGTCAATTGTCTGTTCAGTGCGACGCCTGCACTGTCTAGAGTGGGCAAAAATTACGGTAACAAGCGGTTGCTGCAGTCCATTTATACCTTTAAACACCCGGACTTTTTATGTATATCCCATGTATTTATTTGATTGTTCAGTGTTCCATTTTTGATTTCGTCACATAAAATATGCCAACTCTGGAATGGACAATCTTTTAAATCCTCGAGAAGTAGTCACTACTCCGTTCCGTCCGACGAGCTGTTGATTGTGTTGCATTGCAAGACGATTCAAAAGCCTTTGCAAATGTTCCGTCGACTACCGTTAGAGATTAATGGGCTGTGCACCAGCAGCCTAAACGTGACAGGATCGCTTGTGCGGCTGCACGAGTAATATTTCGAAGACAAGTGCGAAGAAGCGCTGGATGCCTGCTCGCTTAATCCTTCAATTTGTTGCTAAAACTGCTGTAAAGCGCATTCTCATGTAAAGTTTTGTCTGCCTATACCTTAAGAAAAATGCTACAAACACAAAGCGCCTAACTTCTAGCCAATGCGTGGAAATCGAATAGAAAGAAAAGATGCTAAAATACCTTGGCAATGTGCTTCATTTCGCGATGGTTTCCCTTGATGGAAAGGTATTCTGGTTGGATAGGAAAGGCAATCGGATTTATGCTTTTGCAAAGCCAACAAGCCATTCAGTGATGGTTTTCGCAGAAATTTTAAGAGCAAGAACCACGATTCGTGGACACTTCTGTTGCTGTTGACTGTTGCACAGGATATGAAACTAGATAATACAATTCGTCTCATTTGATGCTTCGAAGCGAAAGGACCCTCAGCAGGAAGCACAGGAGATCGAGCAAGATTGGGCCCCACCTACAATGAACAGATTATCCAAAAATCTGTGCCGACAGAAAATTGTGGAACTCATAATATTAGGGAATTGGCAACACGGCTCTCTCAACTCAAGTCCTATTCATTAACGCAGAAAGGAGCTACTCCAAAAAGCAACATTGTTTCCTGTTTGGCAACGTTCCACTAATATGACGGTGTTGTTAATCTAGGACTTCTCAGCCACATTGGTTTTTATGAGTAGTTATTAGTAGTAGTTAGTGCTAGTTAATAATAAGTAACCGTGATTACATATAGGCGATGAGAAACAGATTTTTTCAATAAGGTCCAGAAGCGAACACACGTCACATTGTTTTCTTACTTTTTTAATTGGACACTGGCAATACTCAGTGACTATGTTTAGTACTATCTCTATTTATGGTGTTTTTTCCTAGTTCATATGCTCCTAGGTGATTTCGTCTCATGACATTGTTCCTGGCTTTTTCCTGTTTCTGTTTTGAGTTCCTTTTTTTCAACTTCCTTCAGTCATTTCCTTCCCTACCTACGCCGACTGTGGGCCTTGATGGTGTTGACGGACCTACTACGATGGTATCCGGAGCCGCTTGATGTCTGGCGTGACTTGCAGTGTTGGCGGGCCACTGCTCTTCACCATCAAGTTCCCCACTCCCCCCGCTGGAAAGTTCCTCTCTCCCTCATTATTGTGAGCAATATTAGGCGCTGAATTCTTTTCGTTTTCTTTTACTGCATATCGGACATCTGCACTAAATAAATTAATGTGCTGTTATTCTTCGTTGCCGATAATAAATAATAATAATGAAAATAATAATGTTGTTACAGTAGTTTTTGCCCACTCTGTATATTCTAACAATGAGCATTGTCAGACCTCATTTGGTCACCATAAATCGGAACCATAATCGACGGCTTTCCGCTCCTTGTCACTTCTAGAACACTGTTTAGTCCACCATGTGACACGAAACATCGCAGTCTAGGGTGAGCTAGAACACACTTCTATACCTATAACGGGCGACGGACTTTTGGTGCGTCCGGGGTTGCACGCGGCGAATCGCGCGGCGGGCTGCGCGGCGATCCGGACGAGGCAAGTCTTCGCGGGCTCCTGCAGTGGAATTCAACACGTCAGAATCGCGGATAGAATCCACAAGGTTCTGCTTTGAAAGAAACTTCCCACTCGCGGAGATCGGTGAAATGCAGCGGTGTCAGTGAGAAGATTACAGCGAAAGGAGATGAAAGAGAGAAACTTCATAGAAATGTCACTATTATCATATTATAAATATGAATAAGAAGCACTAAAAATGGAGTCATTTAGTGAGATGTTATTTATTGTCAACTCTATATCTTTGCTAATCGCGGCGCTCCTGTCCTTGGGGAGAACTTTCAAAACAGGGCCAATGGAAGGTGACACTAGAACTAAGCTCATGAGAAGGGAAATACGCTCGGGAGAACAGAAATTGCTCACATCCTCCACGAGAAACTCTTCCCCTCAGGCTTAGTCCCAAACACAATAATTGGTTGAATCTCTCCGCTTAGATTCCCCGCCTATTTTGCTGCCTTTGAATATCCACGCGTTGGATTTGATTTCCACCGGAGAAGCCCGCGAAGACTTGCCTCGTCCGGATCGCCGCGCAGCCCTGCCGCGCGATTCGCCGCGTGCAACCCCGGACGCACCAAAAGTCCTCGCACCTGCTATAAAAAGTGAATGGAAAACTTGTCATATTTTATACTGTAGTCATGGTCGCATCACTAAAGGTTCTATGTTTGCACATGTCCCATCATTAATTCTATGTTCGCAGAGATTCAGGAGGGGAATAATGCAGCTCTTGACATGTCCTGGTAAGAAATGTTCTTCAGTAGACCGGATCATGAGCTACTTTCACTGCTACAGAATTTATCAAAATTCGTAGGTTTTGAATCATCATGAATTCTTCATGATGATTTTTCTCAGATTCGTGTCAAAGCAAATATATGGACAGACTGGTCTAACGGAGTGCAGGCTGCTCGAAATGTAAGATTGAAGCAGATTTCAATACACTATTGAAGCTTAGAGTTATTACAAAGTTTAGACTATGTAGAGGACAGAATTTTAATTATTAGTTTCCACCGAGAACGCTCTGTATCAGGCTTAAGTTTCAGTGTCACTTAATTGCATTGCGCTAAATCTCAAGGTACTGGCTTGTTGTCCTCCCACTGTACCACCTCCAGGATCGAACTGTGTATTGAGGGTTTCTATAAAACACCGACAGTATTGTGATCAGCAAAGAATGAATTTTTCGTGACACCCGTACGCAATCTGCTTTGTGCAGCGACTACGCTGAGCTCAGTATCACTTTCCAGTTAGAGACTTTCCCCGAGATTAAACCACTAGATTAATCCATGCGGGTGGAATAGAGCGGATGGCTATGGTTACCAAATCGTCGTTTACATGGCTCGAAAGTGGACGACAAGGATGCCGTGGACCTAGAAACGCTCCCGATTAGCGGTTTTGTGTGGCTCTCGAATCCCAATACGGCGGCTGTATCTCTGTCCACTCGTGCGGCGTGCTCTCTATGATATTCTGTTCTCGGCTCGCTGTTTTTCTCTTTCATGGAAATCCAACCTACAGGAAATCAATCCTTTCATTCTGTGTTTTCAGTGTTTTTTTTACTTTTCTCCTCACTCGAAGCTCATCTAGCTTCGCTAGTCCACTATTGAGCGCTTTGACACAATAATTTTGATTTTTCCGTCGCTTGCCTTCAATACATCGAAATTATTCGACCACATCGTAGTTCTTCCGAGATCAACTACAGCTTCCTGAATCGAGTCACTCTGCAATAACAGTGACGTATCATGATTTCGTTATGCAAAGTATGTATTGGATCTACTCCTGCATTGGTTGAGGGAACAGGATTAACGCTAGTGCACATCTTGCGAAAGTTAAGGAGCGGCTCAATTGAAATCTCACATAATTTTTCTTATTCAGAAGTAGATTTCTTGTAATCAGTGCTTCTAGGGAGGTTTGAGTGTCGCAACTGTTTAGCTTATGCGCTGCCGAGAAAAAATTGTACATGCTTGTCATGTTATGATTATCATGTTAAATGACAAAATTTCTTTTTGAAGCTAGTTAACTCCCTTACTTCTCGAGCCTCATTCTGGCTGTGCTTCTTGCAGGTCATTTTAATACGTCAACAATTTCAAAGCTACTGCAAAAGCAAGGGAAGGTTGCAAACGTTCGTAAGAAGTGACCTCAGAAAGCAAAGTTGGAAAATGAGGTGTGGATGGGGCACAACAACAGGACCTCGTTTAGCAGCTGACCATTTGATCGCTGCTAAATCAGTCGTTCGGGTGCCTAATCCCAACTTCTCCTATTCATTTTAAACGCTCACCTATTAGAGCTGCTTGAGTAACCCAGCTGAAAGTGTGCAAATTCGAAATATTTTGTACAGCGTCGCCCTCATCGACTTTCCATATGAAATCGTAATTACTGAAAACTTTCGCCACTTCGATTATAGCTTCGCGGAAGTACTTGGGCATCTGAAATGCAGCGAAATTAATGAAGCGTGTACTGATACATATAATCGAATGCCTACTCCGTCGTCAGTGTTTCTACACAGCTTTACCTCATTAGTTGGTGCGACGGAGCCGAACGAAATGTACACCACACCCATGTTGACGTGGTCAACAATTTGTTGTAACTTCTGGAAAAACTGAAATTATTGAAGGAGATAATCACCAGAAGTATTATTTCTTTTTCGTTACCTCCGATAGTGGAGCAGCCTCTGGCAGAGCAATACCCCCAATGTGAACAATTTTTGGTGAAGATGGGCGACCGAACTCGAGGAATTCGTCCGTGTTCGAAAGCAAGTAGTTGGTTCTTCTTTTGTAGTATTCTTCGTCTGCGGCAGCCCCATGACGGCTCCACACCTCCTGACAATAGTCACTGTTGACGTTTCCTTTGTACACCTCACTGTAGATTAGTGTATTTTGGATTTTTAAGAAAATGACTTTCGGATGATCGCGTCATGCTAATAATGACACAGCCAAGTCAGTTTTTTGAATTTTTGTCTTGTCCCACGTATCGTTTGATTGCGCCTGTTTAAGCAGTACAAAGAAAGCTGGCTTCGGGATTTCGAAAAAATGGAACTCGATCCGGAAACAGCGAAAAATTATTATACGGCCAAAATACGCGAAATTTTGGCCGGATTTAGATGTCTTCAACAACTTCTCCCCGGATCCTGCTTGGTATGAAATTACAGTGTTTTCTTGATCGACGGCTATTTCTTGATCGAGATAAATCCCGCGCTAAAAAAGCATGAGATTCTACCAAGTCGTGCTTGTACGTCAAACGATAAACATAATTCCGGGCGTGCCTGACGAAGGTGCTAAGCACCGAAATATTGCAAGTTTTTTGGAAAGCTTTCGAAATTAAGTGTTTTTGAAGCTTTTTGAAATAAATTTTGGAGCCTCTAATTGTTGTTTAACATTCAGATCTTTATGAGGCTTCGGGACAGCACTTACTAAAAAAAAGCATTTTGTAAAATATACGTCCTAGCGGCTTCTTCCCAATATAGGCGCAATCGTTTATACGAAATCATTAAGCCTAGGAATTGGAGATATTACAACAACGCAATCAAATGGCAATCGGTGTTGACCGAGTGGCAGCTTGAGAATTTTACGATAAAGAACTATGCAGAGGTTGCTGGGAAGCCTCTGTCTCTGCGCTCACTCCTTTCGAATCAAAAACTGTGCTGTCATCTATCTCTCATTCTCACTTTAATTTATTTTAGTTGATTAGAAATATATGGGAAATGCGTCCGGCGGTGTCATCAAACTACAGGTAGAGGAAGGCTGTGTGATGGGTCATTGATGTCACATCTTTATACAAAGATCTATCGAATAAAGCGGCGCTGGAGGCTACATACGAATTGCTTCACGAGCACGAAAAGAACCTCCATTTGCACGGGTTCACTGTTCCGCAAGTGATGACGATCTTGGCAGAGTGCCTGCAATGCTCCTTTTCAGGTGGTCGGGCGAGTACTATAAGCAACTACGGCGCTGGCTATGGGGCCACGACTAGCACCTGCACTGGCCATATATTCATGTTGAAAATAAAGAAAAGCTCGTACTGGATCGTCGCCCAATGCATCTACCTCTATTGATGACTGCATTATCATATGTTGAACTAAGAAAGAAATGGACATTTGTTACGACCTCCTGAATAAGCAGTCAGAAAACATCAAATTTACACGGGAAAAGCCCTGTGAAGGATTGGCTACCATTTCCAAATGGTAAAGTCCTGGTACTACGAGGCACAGTCAGAACCAAACGGTACCGCAGACCAAGCTGTAAAAATATAATTGCTTACTACCAATCCGCACATCGCGCAATAAACAAACGGCTGTGGTCAGCAATATGTTCAGAGTCGCGAGCAAAGTTTATCCGATACCGGGCTGAAAAAGCAGTCGCCGAGCATGGCCCAAAGCATCGCCTTTCACGAGTGGATACCCGTGCTCTAGACCAACATGAAGGTGGTATTTCACTACTCGCAGTGTAAGAAAGAATACCTCCTGACACGGTGACTCCTTGTTTACCGTTCATTTCAGAATAGGTGAGCTGAACTATTCGATCAATTGTGCGTCGGTGCAGTCTCCAAGACGACATAAGAATTGTCGAAATACCCCACACACCCATCAGAAGCATCTTGTTCGCAAACGATTCTCTTGTTGGGAACTCAGCGGCTTTGTACCACAGAGGTTCAGCGGCGTCGGAGTGTCCATTGTTGGACGCTGGAACCCGAGATCGTGGCGCGCAAGACGCTGGAGGCATTTTGTGCTTACCGCTGAAGACCTTCAAATAAACAGGAGGGAGAAGTGTGGCCATAACCCGCGTTCCTTGACCTTTGCCACCTTCAATCATCTAGGCGGTCAGTGGGAGGTACTACTCATGCGACGGTGGTCGTCCTTCTGTTTAACACGGAGGGGTCTTTCAGGGTATACCGCGCTTTTTCAAAACGGTTTTGTGCATATTGTAGGGACGCATGTAGGGAACACAAAACCATGTTTCATTTTCGCTGAACGGTTATAGCAGTACCAAAAAAGAAGCATAAGGTACTGTTAATGGTTCGATCCCCCGTGGCGACTAAATTTTGCATTTGGGTTGGCGCCTACGGTTTGGTGCCAAATCGCGCTAAATATCAAAATCAGATGTCATATTCATCGTCAGGACCATAGTATGACCTTAGGTAGTTGCCTATTGAATGCAAACTCTAATCGCAAAGAAGGATCGAACCATTGAGAAATCATCACTATTTTTTCGGTATTACCAAAATTGCTCACGATATGCAAGAAGCCGTTTTGGAAAAACGCGACTTGCCCTAAAAAACCCTCCTCATGAGCGACATAGTTTGAGGTAATTAATGTCGTGCCTCCACCGATCAATACCGTTGAAGGTTCATCAATCTACTGAAAGTGTCTTGAAGTCTTTGTAGAGGCGTTTTGGAAGAAGCCACGTGACAATAATGAATTGTTCAGTCTTGAAAGCCTTGAAAACTGTACCTTCTGCACCCCACGATTGTTTTCCGGAAGGGCACTGTTTATGATAAGGAATCATGACAAAATAGTCAGTTCCCAAAAGTGATAGTGAAAGAAGAGTTCTTTGTCTTTTATGTCTTTCTTCACTTGTTGATTCTCTTCTACAATTTTTTGGCAAAGATCATGAGATTGAAAACATTGAGAGGAACAAAAACATTTGAAGGAACACAGATATTAAAATATATCTTACAAATCAAGAAAAAGCTATGCTGCGGATCAATTAAAATTCGAATTAAATCAATTAATACCTTTCGAAGAATCTTACTCGGATCGATAAGATTTCTTATCATAATTTTTGATTGCCTTTTTCATTTTTTACTGAAAAATTATCGAGTTCTTTGAACGCATGCAAAACATTGTCCTTTGTTCAGTCTTCGTCAAACGAATTTTCGTTGGGTAAGTTTGGAAGCTGTACTGAGGCGAACGCGTGCCTGACGAAGGTGCTAAGCACCGAAATATTGCAAGTTTTTGGAAAGCTTTCGAAATTAAGTGTTTTGAAGCTTTTTGAAATAAATTTTGGAGCCTCTAATTGTTGTTTAACATTCAAAATAACCATTGTTCAAGACTTAGACAAGTTCAGGGAACTCATGGATGGGATATTAATTATTACCAACGGATTACGTACATGTTACAGCCTCAATAAAACCTTTGGACCTAAAGCTTCACTTTTTGTTCGATAATTTTTGGACTTCATGGCATGAATTAACAAACTGGGGACTGCATTACGCGTTGCTTGAATGAATGCCCCACTTGAATGAATTCGGAATTGTGGCATGAACTAATGACTTAATTTCTCTGCTGTGAGTGCTTATCAAACATTGTCGCTGCCTTGGTGAAAAACAATTGACTGCGAAGACAATGCCGTCATATTGAAATTCGACCACGTCGGCTTGGTCAGCACATCGAAATCGACAGGTAGAGAAAGTGGAGCAGTCATTGGGTACTATTTTTCTGACATTGACGAATTCACCTTGTATCTCCGTCCAAAATCTGAGGAACAGATGTCAGCAAAAATACTCGCGATGAGGTTGATTGTCCTTTCTACGAAGTACATTCGATTAGTGTATGGTAGGAGAAATGCTGTAATAATTCAAGGATTTCTTCATAAACTCATAAACGTTGTGTTTAAGTAAAACAATACGCAGCGCGTAATAAAAGTATGAGGGCACCCCGAAATCAGTTTTTAGGTGTCTTTTTGTCTACTAATGATTTTTCTGCCGTCAAACCGACATCAATCTATCAGCTAATTCCTACTGGCCGATAGCATTTGATGATAGCAACTGCTATTATTGTAGTTTAGAAAACTCAAATTGGTGGAATTCATTTTCCTTGTAGCAGAAGTATGTGGACCTACTTTCTCGTTCTTATTCGGACACTGCGCTCCTTCACGGAAGCTTGTTTAAAAAAGAACAAGCTGAACAGGTCAGGTTATGCTGCTGCGCCTTCCAATCAGAGAATGGTACGCCAACCTCGTCGTGGCCCTTGCATGGATGAAATGAGATTAAGAGTGTCGATGCTAAGCTCCTGCAACTGAATGAGGGTCATGGTCTATATATATTAAATAAATATAAATAAAATGTGATATGATATCAGTTTGGCGGCGCACTGCCATTGCGCGCATGCATCAACGGGATTAGCAGCGGTTTAAAACAGGGCCGTCGATATTGTAATGCTTCCTGGCAAAACGTGCGCCACCTGCCAGTGCGCGCTTACACACCCGACCATCGCTTACCACGTCGACCACTAATCAACGTCTATCGTCCACTTATCTCAGCCAGTATTCAGAACTATCGGAACGGAATTATAAGTACAACTCCGCACACACCATGTCTCTTCCACCTATAGCAGATTGCCTCCTCTTCGCCGACCTCTCTCCACCTTTCCCCAGTTACTGAACGGTTGCTGAACCGACTAATGATTTGGGGCTAACCCATTTTAGTGCGTGCCCCTCATCAAATGTAGTTGACCTCCTTTCGCTGTTTCGATGAGTAAGACTGTCATGCTCAACTCCTGCAACTAATGAGGGTCATGACCCCCTATTAATATTAAACCAGTTTAGCTCCGCACGCAACCGCGCGCATCAAATGACGGGCTTCAGTGAAACTGGACAACTTCCAGAATGTTAGGTCACGTAACAGAGAAACTAACAGTAAAATGTTTTGGAAGATGTGTCCCATGAAGTTCAAAGGTCGTCCAATTTCTCTGGAGGTTGTCGCGTAACGCGCGCAGTAGCACGCGGAATGGAAATGTTACTTATCATGACTTCGAAAACATTTAGCATTGATGTCGAGCTCGGGCGATTTAGCGGTTTATAGAACTTCCACAATTGAATAATCGGTGTAAGTGAAATATAAGCAATCAATCAGCATCTACCGAGCTATGATGGAAATTGGAAATATATTTATTCGCTATTAGGTCCAGGTCCGGATAGTTGAGCAGCTCAACTTTCTTTGCTTCTTTGGATGAAAGGATAGGAATGGAACATATTCACTTGCTAGGGGCCTGGTTTAGTTTGACTGAGTGCACGCTCAATTTCGCTACTTTTATCAGTACAGTTGCCGCTCATACCACTTTCTGTCACCCACATTCAATCCTCGCCACCTTGTTCCCGTCCCATTCCTTACACCACATGTGAAAGCCAAGGTTTCAATGTCACCGCGAGGGCAGGCAACCCGTGCACCGGTGCCCGTCGACTGGTGGTATCCTTTTTACGCCCCTTATCAGTTCTTATCAGTTGCTACCACATTCGTCCACTCAACTTCTTGGTCCCCGCCTCACCCCACATATCATATATGAGTGCAAACTTTCCACCATCAACGCGAACGGTGTAACGCAATTGGTGACATCAACATTTCGGCGTCCGTTATCAGCTTCTATCAGTAGCTATCACTTCCCGCCACCCACTATCAGTGTTCACGCCCGGCCCCCTACATATCCTAGAAGTTTGAGCGCTCTGGGTCCAAAGGGAGCGAAGTTATGAATTTCCGGTCAGACACACACACACACAACCGCTTAGCCGATTATATATAGTAGGATATAAATAATGTGTAATACCATTTGTATAGCATACATCGCTGCTCAACGGGATTGCAGCGGTTAAAACAGGGCCGTCCGAATATGTAACTGTCTCTGGCAAACGTCGCCACCTCCGTGCGCGCCCACACCCACCAATGACTTGATTTGCAACGTCGAACAATCAAACCTCCACCTTATCACTCTTATATCACTTCACTTTATCTTTATCACCCCACTCCACTTATCTCCGCGTATCCCGAACTATCCCAACGGATATAAGTACAATACTCCGCCCACACCGGATATTCCCTTCCACTATAGCAGGATTGGCCTCCTCTTCCGCCGACCCTCTCCATCCTTTCCCCCAGTACTGGAACGTCTGCACCGCCCTAATACATGATTTGGGGCCAACCCATTTAGTGCGTCCTCATCAATGGTAGTTGACCTCCTTTCCTTTTCCGATCTCTGCCTCTCTTCCAGGTGTTCAGAACCTCTCGAAAGCGAAAACAAACTCTACTCACTTTGACGCATCCAACCCCCCCCCCCCCCATATGCTGTCTGCCTTCCTCCTTCGCCGATCTACATTTTTTAAACTTCTTACACTACTTTCCCTACTTTACTCGGATATTTTTAAACCGAGTTAACGCTGGCAACAAACTCCGCCCACTCTGGTATGCCCCACCTCCACTGGGACATTCAACCTCGCTCTCCTTCTCTGGACCTACATTTGTCTGTCCTTGCTCCTTAAAACTTCCTCGAAGCGATTTAAACTACTACAGACTTCAATAAATTACGCTCCCACTAAGAGCACGTCCCACCCTGTGTAGCCTCCGTCACCGTTATTAGCTAAAAATACCTTAGTTACATATGCTCCCTACACAAAGCTTATAATCCTGCACAGTACTTGTTTTACCCGAAGACCGAATTTTTTCATAGACACAATCTTTCAGAAAACGTCCCGACTCAACAGATAGGGTTTCCATCTCCCTTTCCCGTATCTGAACACTGTACCACAGCCCCGTACCCTGTTTTCTGCCCAGCTCACTACGAACGGCGGCTGTTATGACTAGGCTCGGATTCCTGGTCTGTGTGTAACACTGAATAATTTCTATAGCACCCAACACAACCCCACATAGTTACGCACGTCGCAGAGACTGCTCCTGTCAGATCTCTGTACACACACCCCGTCCATGCCTCTCTACTGCTATCCCAGAAACCCGAAAAATCCGTGAACCCAACCACCACCGAATACAAACACACCCATACGTGTACATATTCTCCCCGCGCTGAGCGTCGGCGACCCTAGCGGATATACTGGCCTGGAACGTCTCAAAGAGTACGAATGTATTGAGAGCTTGGTTTGCTAATATGTAAGTTACACGTGAAAAAAGCTACGGCCTCGTCTATTAAAATGATACTCGCTCACATTTCAAGAATCCAGTCGGCAGTGACTTCGCCTCTCGCCGACCCGCCCAGTCTAGCTAGCACATAGACAATGATTTGCATCAGACGCGGAGGACTCATACGCGAAATGCCGAAGAATCATCGCGTCATACTCATCGCTCATTGTATGCTAGCATAGCACTAATAAGTACTGAAATACAGATTGCTGATTGGTACCGCAAGGACGTAAAAACGGGTAGATCTACCGGTCTCAGATGGATGTTAGTCGACGTACAGTGCGAGTCACTGGCTCTTACTAGCTAGGAGTCTGCGCGACCGGTTTCTATTAATATAAGTAAGGCCTCCTGCGATCCCACAAGCACCCCAATATTCACAGCGTGCTACACTAGATTCGGTAGAAGCAGACTCATTGCAGCTAAAGGCAAGTGCGAATGATGCTCGTGAGACAGAGCCATCGGTTCAAAACACGAAATAAGGATCAGTAATAAAAGTAGTTCGAGATAGTGAAGTAAGAAGGGCACGAGTGTTGACCTAACATCGAAGTGTCGATCTTGAGCGCATATTATCAGAATTGCCATTTAATATCTCCGTAACTACTGCCTACATCCAAACTCTGAGCATAGTACCGGGAAAAGCTGCGTGGTGGGAAAAGAAAAAGGAATCGCCTCACACTGAAATCTTGGTGCCAGTAGCGCTTGCGTACTACGTTAATATTGAGCAGGTCACGGGAGTATTACCAGTAGTCAATATTGCAGATGAGGGGATTCTCTCATCTGTAGAGAAAAGCTGTAGAGAAAATGGAGTAGCCTTCAAAGGCTGCAGATGAGAGAATCCACTCAAGGGCTGCGGATGAGAGAATCCTCTCATGTCTTTGTCCATGAGAGAACCTTTGTAGGCTAACTCCATTTTCTCTACAACTTTCGAAATCGGTAGTCTTCTTAGAGCGGTGGTAACGATTCCGTTCATTAGGCGCTGTGTCAAAGGTTCAAGCATAAGTGTAGCGCAAGTTTTGCGGACAATGTGGCTGATGCTCACCAACGACCATGGCGATTGCCATGGCCCAATGGGGACGTTCCACTGTGCCACACTGGCAAGATTGCTCGATCAACACTGCGTGAATTCTAACAATTACAAACAACATTCGATGCTTTCCTGTTGTCAACATCTCCGAGAGGCGCAATTTCTGCAGGTAGTGTGACGATGCAGGCAGTTTCGGCTAAGGTCAATTCCATGTTTCCACGTTCCTTATTCCTCGTCAATGGGGAAGAATCACCACATTTGAGTGCTAGTTCAGGGTACTTTGCTAGTGTCCAGATAAACGAGACAGGTTTTGGAAGTGTAGTTCAGAGCATGCCAAATAGAACCTCTAAATTTATCTAAATTTATCAGGAGGCCTACTGTCTTGATCCCAGAAACATACCTATTTTTTGAAAAGTCTCCACATGCTTCTGTTACAGAATCAAGTTTTCACGTTATTCGAAAAAAATTAAAGTACTTGTGAGTTGGTAAGTTGACGGATCGCAAGGTTTTCGCATACGAAAGAATGAATAGGGGCGATTTTGATCCAGAAGTACTCTCTTGTAAAAAGTTTTTGGGGTGTTCATATACTTGTGTTACGCACTGTAGAAATAACTT